AATATATGTTTATGTATGGTTTAGTGAACGCTCGCTAAACATACTAAGCATAATAAAAAAAAAGCTTACATTTAAATAATCATTATGCATGTTTAACTTCATTGGATAAGGGAAAAAATTGAGATAAAGTGTAAATCTTATCCATTTTATCAATTGCCTGCTATTCGAATCAGTTGTTTGCACTTTGTGTGCCATAAAAGACTCGTACGTATTCCCACGTGGTAGGGATGTTCGTTTACTTTCAATGACAACACGTGTTCATCCGTGTTCAAGTTGTCATATTGAATTGAGTGTCATATTTTAGACAATGAGTTCTGGGTCTCATAGGAAGGGGCGGAAATGACGTAAATGAGTTTACTTTTTTTTGGCAGGTGCCGTATAACATTGACATGATTAAACATTCCGTCAACTCCTAAGACGTGTCACACATACAGAGCCCAGTAAGACATACAGAGCACAGTAAGACATACAGAGCACAGTAAGACATACAGAGCACAGTAAGACATACAGAGCACAGTAAGACATACAGAGCACAGTAAGACATACTGAGCACAGTAAGACATACAGAGCACAGTAAGACATAAGAAATACTATTTCTCATCTAATCAGGGATTATTTCAGAAATTTTTTTCCCGAAGGGCACTTCAGATTTTTTTTTGGGGGGGTGGGGCAGTGCCAGTTGATTTATTGTTGGACATATTTTTGCTCCGGGGGGCACTTGGCTTTCCCGGGGGGGGCGTATGCCCCCTCCCCGGAGATATAGCTGAAAGAAACCCCGCATATTATGCATCCCTGTACTGTCTCGAGCCGTCTTGATTAGGTCTAGCCGTTGGATCAAATACGCAAGGACGAGAGAGAGAGAGAGGGGGGTGTTAACGAATTGAGTAACTCTCCAGTACATTAAACCCAACACACTCAGGTCACGCCTACCGTTTAAGAGGAATGAAAAATACTATTAATAATTATAATGATATTTAATTATATTCATTTAACTTGAAACCGTGTATGATCGCAATGTCCAATTAACAATGCACATTTGTGTCGGGGTATTGTGAATATATTATTGCTAGTGCAAACTTTCTCAGCAAACAAAGAAAAAAATTCATCAAAATGGATGACAAAGGATGACTAAGTAATGCGCATGTTTTTCAAAAAAAAAACGTGTAACGTCTTGCTCTACATGTATCAATTTTTCACAAAAAAAGATTTAATTTAATATGTCACATGTTTTATACCCCTGATGCATGACTAACTGTTTCCCCACATTGATCGCCTGTCTATTGTTTTATCCATCAGATTCCCGCCCTTCATAAAAACTATGGCAACATTGTCAAGCCAGTTGGTCTGGCCTCTTGATCACTTACAATGCACATGTTGTGCACATTTAAATTGCAGAACATCCGGTGTTTTAAGAGTCTTGAACTGTGTGAAACTAATGACATCCGTACATCTAATGAGCAATGTTCCGACAGATAAAATATATTCACTGCGATCAAGGGGGAAGGATAAATATATTTCTAACAGTTGTGCAATCGTTTTTGGCTGCCGAGCTTTGTGTGCCTGGTGGTCACTGCTACCTTAATGGTGGCTGATATTTGTGTGCCTGGTGGTCACTGCTACCTTAATGGTGGCTGAGCTTTGCGTGCCTGGTGTCACTGCTACCTTAATGGTGGCTGAGATTTGTGTGCCTGGTGGTCACTGCTACCTTAATAGAGGCCGAGATTTGTGTGCCTGGTGGTCACTGCTACCTGTTCCTGTTTTTCCTCATTGTTTTGATTATGCTGTAGAAATCTATATTTGTTCTATTATTTATTCAAGAAAACAATCTCTCAAGCGCAAATTCATTTTACACGAAAATTCCAAAAGAGTCCTAAGACCAGTAGACGCATTGTCTTGTATGCTAATCTCCTAACATTTGAGAGTGTTATAAGAAACATGCGTATATATACCCGAGGAATAACAATAGGATACTTTCTGAGAGGGAACCAAGACCCACAACCAACAGGCACGCTCTAAAATCAACCCCTTCAGTATCTTGCATATGCTGAGGACATAGCACAAAAGCCTTATTTGAATTAAAAGACGCGCCATGCAATCATGGATGGGAGTAAACAACCAAATAAATAAAATACATGGATACGATAAAAGAAGAACAAACATATGCAACCATTAAGATTAGAAACCTCGGATTTGAAATAGGTAATCAATTCAAATACCTAGGATTTTTATTAAATGAAAGAAATACTTTAGTAACGGAAGTAAAGGAAAGATCATCGACCGGAAACAGGGCTAAAGTTAGTTGTCTTAAAATACGCAAAAGTGAAAACATGACAAGAAAAACAAAGAACACTTTTTATAAAACCGTAATCGGGTCACTTGTGGCATACGTAAAAGAAATTTGAACCTAACAAAAAACGTCAGAAAACCTACGAAATACATGGGAGATCAAATTTATCCGGAAAATCTATTGACCAACAAAGGAGGAATATGGATGGAGAATGCGAACCAACCAGGAATAATAAAGTCTTTATCAGGATCCCACGCTGGCAGCAGAGATTAAAAAAAGGGGCTATTGTGTGCCGGGATATACAATTAAATAATGGAAGTTATTAAAAGATTGATTTAATTCTAAATCACAACTTTAAAAATGTGTAAAAATTACTTTAAATTTGTTATTATAGGAACTTTGCTATACCCACTGTTAAATTTGGATACTAATTGATATCAAATAAAACTACTGCAAGTAAGTCCATTAAAACATGTCAGTTCTGATCTGTTTGTAACAAAGGCACACGGTTTTAACATAAAATTGGAACCTATTAAATAATGCATTATATTAATGACTAATTAATTGAATTAATTATTTCGTTTTTACACCCTGAAAATACTTAGAGTAAAATAAGAGAAAGTGCATTCTTCTTTTTGATGACTCAAGTCATCTGCATTCAAGTGCTTGTCCCATCATTTAAATTTATACAAAGTTTAATAATTGTGAATATTTAATTTAATTGTAATTGTTCAAACCCTTGTACATTGTTTTTCGTTAAACAAAAGTATGTTTAAGCTAATGCTTTTGACCTTAACCTGAACCTATCTAATTTATATTTATATATATATATATATATATATATACATATATATATATATATATATATAGTATTTATTGTCGTATAACATGCCCCCGGGTCTAACACGCACCTGAGTTTAAGAAGGAAATTTCAGGAAGAAAAAAAAAACATTATATCGGCGTATAATACGGACACTTCATTTGCCCCCTATTTTGAGGGAGAAAAAGTGCGTTTTATACGCCAATAAATATATACAAACAGAAAATTTAACTTTCGGTTTATTTTCGGTTTAGGCCGAAAGAGAAAATTTGAGTGGTTTTTCATTTTTAGTTTCGGCCGAAAGTTATTGAGGATTTCGGTCATCTACCAGAAGTCAGACTACCTGTTCTCTAGGCTGGCATCCCGGGATTCATTTTTGCTCTCATTCATTTTATATGAATAATCCACTTCGAAAACTGCTCATATCTGCATGATGACCTTCTTGTCCTTTATTTCCAAAAAAAATAATTTCCAATTAGGTCTTGACAAATTAAATGTAAATAGTTTTACGAAGAAAAATGCTATGGGAATTGTAAAACTTACATAATTATCTTTGTATTATTTTTTGTCTTTTTTAAATGAAATTCCGAACACTAGGATTTTTTTCAATACTTTTTTTTTTGTGATATTCATTTCGATTTATTATAGTCATGCTCATCAATGTTGTCAAAGGCAAAGGTGAATAATATTGAATGATCCCAGGGAATGGTGAAATTTCCATTATTATTTTTGTCTTATTTAAAAAAAAAAAAAAAAATTATGGAAACTAAGCTCTTTCAACTGATTCATTTCTTGAAAATCTTCATTATCATGCTGATAAACATTATTATTGATGAAGTAACGCACGTATGCATATTTCAAAAAAAAATATTTCAATCAAAGTCGAGTTCAACCGCAGTAAAAAGTAAAGAATAGTTTGAAAGGTAAAAAACAAAAAAATAGTTGGTGCAGAAAATAGTTTCAAAAATTAATAAAATGATTAATAAATAAAACAATTTATGATTCCCTTCCATTCAATACGAATTATATGATACATGAATGCTCGTCTACACTTTCACACAGACTTTATTTGCGTAATGCATTGCAAGAAATTTTAAATACTTATCTAATTTTTAGTTCATTTAAACTTATTTTTGATAGACAATCCATTTAATTTTTTTTTAAAAATAATAATAATAATAATTAATTGTGTGTGTTTCTTTTTTTCTTTCTTTTTTTTTTTTTTTGGTTGATACATTAAATATTTCACAACTTTACAAAAAAAGGAAAGAAAAAAATTGTTTTAATGTCCAATGAATTTTTCCAAAATTTAGGTACAAAAGTTACATTTACAAACCACTTGTTTTTAAAGTATATATATCCGGGCATGTAGAGATTACTAGAAGTCCCGCGTGAGTCAAGTACAGTTTCGGTCGTGCACTCTACTGCAATGGGCTCTTCATTATAATACCATCTGTTTCAAGTGATTTCATTTCGATAACAATTTCAAAAGTAATTTCCTTGTATTTTCAAACTTTGGGTAAGTTATATTTCTCTACAGTAAATAAAATAAATACAACCTTTTACTCTTAAAATATGTATTATTAAAACATTTACATCTCTCCTTTTTATAAAATTTTTAAACCAAAGTATTTTGCGGTAATGAACTTTTTACAACTTGTATCTATTTCTCTAACTTATTTTACATTTCTTTATTTAAATTCTTTGTTTGAATTGTTACAAACTGAACCTAAAAATTATGCTTTGCCCATCAGAATGGCAATGACTAAAAATGCAAAGGAACAAAAAACTAAGTGGAAGAAATTTTAGTTGCTATAATTTTTGTTTTTCCCATCGTAAATTATTGAAACACAATAAGCTATTCAATATGTTATATGTAATAATTTTTTTCCAGAGATAATGGCATTCAACACAATGAATAGCATAGTTTCAACACTTGTCTTTACATCTCATATGCTAATGGCAGTGTCAGGGACAAATGATTCTTTTCTTATACTGTCGTATGGACGTGTCGACATTCATGTTGATTGGAATACATTTGAAAGGTATTTTGGTTTTGTTTTCTAAATCATTAAATAAAAATTCCGAAATCTGAGCTCAATAAGATTTTTAAAATTAGCGCAAGTGCTATATTCCGTAATATATATATACTATACATGTACGCCACAGTAATAGGTGATGTAATAAATCTGCGATATAAAAGGACATGTTACATTAGAATATTAATATATTTCAAATCGGTGGCGTACCAGGTGGGAAGGGGGTCAGCTCTAACTGAAAGTCTAATAAATTGCGGCAATGGATTGAGTGTTTTGTCAAGCAACCTTAGCAGATGGGAGTTCACGTAGTACGGCCGCCATGGTACAGTGGGTTTTATGGCCAGTTTTGTTTTAATGTTTAAATGAATATACATTAACATCACAGGTATATTAATACCTGTGTCTAGAAAACATTTTTTTTGGAACAGAGAGAAGATTATTTTTCAAAGCTACTAAAACATTTTTATTTTTTTGATTTCAGATTCTACAAATGTTTATGCAACCCTGTGATGTCACAGTGCAATGCTAGCGCCCATGTTGTTCCTGATCCAGTTCAACGTATCCACGCAACCAATGTAACATATTTTTACAACAACGGAAACAGTTGCGCTGGGGCTAAACAATGCAGAATAGACAAAGAGTATAACAGTCAATTATCATACACAATTTCATGTCAATGCCCTGCTGAAGGTAAAAACGAGGGATGTCACTATAACATGACTTTACTGTCCCAGCCTGACGACAACAACATGTGCATGTCTTCATTTGTTGAAATAGGATTGGTGCAGGGTGACAGTAGTATTACAATGACACCTGTTGTCGGGGGCACATTGCGAATTGAGAAATGCAGAAAAGATAGTCCAGCGGAATGTAAGAATGTAACAGAACTCCCCATTGGATTAATGACCCATTCAAATATTTACTACGTTTTAATTTCAAGCAATTTTTGTTTTATTTTGCTGGTCTTTATATTAGCAACAATTCTTATATACAAGACGAAAGGAACGAATGTTCCAGTAAAGGAAGATGGACATTATCGAAACTCTACAGTGCATCGCTGTAATCAACCAACAGTTTGCGAGTGTGAAAATTTACAATGCGAAAATCATTTTTCCGACAGTTCTATTAAAAGTGACCCCTTTTATTCATTTCAACAATCTTTGCAAGCCGAAGAAGAGAATTTCCAAGAATCATGTGGTGCATCATTAAGTATAAAAACATACACAGATGAAGAGACGAATCGCTTAAGAAACACTTTGGTAAAATCAAATTCTGTCGTAGAAATATGTCTGCATTGTCATGAGTGTTCTCCCGATCGTGAAGACGTTATGTCGTCCAGAGATTGTAAAGCAAGTATGAACAGGTTCGATGTAAACAATACAAGAGCTGCCTGGAATGTACATGACAATAACACGGAGGATCAGGGAAGGAATACGAGTAAAACTACGCCCAAGTCGTGTGTGAGAATTTCATCCTCGACTATCGACAATGAAGGTTACACTATTGTTGACATTTCTGACGATGTCCCTTGCGCCTATAAAGTCCAGAGAAATACAAACGGAGCATTGCCAACTATTCAAGAAAAAAACAATGAAGTATCTACCAAACACACGAGCAAAGGTTTAACAAACATCCGATGTAAGTCTAACGGGACCAGGTTGGAACGGGCACTTACTCAAATGCCCGATTGGAAGGATCAACTGGATGAGAATGACGGTATCATCAAATCACCAACGTCTCTGTGTGACGTCTATGAGGTCCCAATCATTAAAGATGGCCTGTGTCCCACCGTTCTTGCATGTGCAAACGGTACTCAAAGAAATGCTTTAGCAAAAAACAGCATAACGCCAGTAGGCTCGCTGGACGACGGCTATGACGTAGCAATGGTCAACTCGCGCCCAATGGCGAAATCGTTTTCAGGAATTTCAAAACCAGAAATAGTGTTTTTACCCTCACCGTGTCCAACAGGCATGCGAACACATGAAAGAAACACTCAATCACTATGTGATAAATGCCTAACAGTTTTTGACACAACTACACGAGAGATAAATTCAACTGAAAACAACGAAAGTGATGAAGGAAGCATCATTTACAGTAATTCAGACTCTGTAAAAAATAACTGAGGCTGTAATGGTAGTAAAGAGGATTTGTTTTTACAAATTTAGGAACTTTCATCAAGAAAGAGAAGAACATCTATCACAAGTGCATACCCACCTTTCTGAAAGAAGAACATTTGCATAATGAGATGTAACCCACGTTTATAAAACAAAATTCAAAACCAAGAGTCACCAGTCAGACGCTGAACATTAGATGCTTCTATATTATGTTAAAACTAACCAATATAAAGTCTACCAATGGAGAATAAAGGCGAATATTTTGTTAAAGAAGGCGGGTCATATCGAAATATTATAAAATGTTGACTTAATACACGTAAGGAGAGAGAGGAGGCTCATCCGACACCAGAGCGGTTCAAAGACTGAGTTAACATATTTTATATATATTTTTAGCATGAATGTCTGATTAAATTCAGGATATGACAACGACATGGTGTTAAGGAATTGTTACGTGCTGCTATAGTGTGTAGATCATTAAATCTCTTATTTTAATAGGTCATCTAGGCTCAGGATGAGAACCCCGAAAAGCTATTTCTTTTTATATCAATTTTGTCACATTAGTGACTGCGTGTTATGTTCACGTTAAAGATAGTGTTCTTTTCACTGATAATGAGATGTAAAATAAAGAATGCTTTCTCAAAAAATTTTATTTCGCTTGAACTGAGTTAAGTCTCTGTGTCTGATTTCCGTGGTTGGACTTGTCTTAATAAGACTTTGTTAGCCATAGATACAGTACCCTTGGATACAACAGCCATGGAAGCTTTAGCCGTGGTGGAAGCTTCTAAAAATAATGAGATAATGAGACAGTTTAGTGAGACTCTCTGCATTTTGTATATCATAATCAGATTTTGAGACCTCCTGGTATAAAGTAAATGCTCTACATTTACTTAGCCAAAAATTAAAAAAAAACGGTAAAGGAAATGAATTAATTGAAATTAGTACCAATTTATTTTATTTTATAAACAATTTTTAAAAAAAATATCTCTGTTAATAAGAAGCTTAGAATGTTTTTGCTCCGTTTTCTTGTTGACTAATTAAGAACTTGTTTGTGCCATGTCGATATGTTGTGAAACTCAGTCAAAGTTCAGGCTCCAAATTAAAACTCCAACATTTTGTCCCAATGTATTATATTATTATTGAAAACGCATGGCCTCATATTATTATCCAAAGATGTTTGTGTCTTGTTCAAACTGTATGTAAGCTGAGAGCTGAATATGTCCTAGATCAATTTAATGAGAAACGAGAACTGTGTGTCAGGGAATAGTAAGAAAAATGACTTAATCTCTGAGAAGAATGGAATGATGAAGTAAATAAAAGACTGAGAGGAAAGAAACGAATGGCTGGTGAGAATTCAAAACATACGTGGTTAACTGAAAAATGGCTGGTTAGAACTCAATAGATGCAGGGTTAACATAGAAATGGCAGGTGAGAATTGAATAGATGCAGGGCTAACATAGAAATGGATGGTGAGAATTGAATAGATGCAGGGCTAACAGAGAAATGGATGGTGAGAAGTCAATAAATTTTGGGTTAAATGAAAAATGCATGGTGAGATTTCAATAGATGCAACGTTAACAAAGAAATGGATGGTGAGAGCTCATTAGATGCTGGGTTAACGGTGAAATGTCTGGCCATAAGCTCAATAGATGCTGGTTTAACATTGAGAAAGAGTAAATCGAAAGGGTCATGAAGGTAGCATTCGACCGTCTCCACAGAGAGATGGCTTATACAGTTACACTATTCTGCAGGGCACAGATGCAAAGTTTGAGATCCTCCTCATTGCAGAGGGACTGCTTTAGAGGAGGACAGTGAACTTAATCAGACGTGTGCAATTTATGTGAATGTTTTATATCTGATAATAATGGGCATCAGCTATATGAAAGAGATTTAGGAGAGCAGAATGTTGATGTCAAGACGAATCAACATAAGGATAACACGACATGAAAGAACTTCTCAAGTTCATTTTTCAGTACGGAGAGTGTATTTCATTAAAATGCAACTATCAACTATGGCTAATCTCCTGAGTGTACCATAGTAAAAACTCAAAAGTAAACCTGACATCCATATAAATAGGACCGTAACTGTTACTAGTGTTACTCCGCGTGCCTATGTCTCATACATACTATATATATATCAGCTACAGTAGAATTTCAACATATCAATTATTTATAACAACTCCCACTATATTTATTGAGTTTCACATTGATGAATAACAGAATAATGATTGATTGAAGTAAAGTCACACTATTCCCTATTCCTTAGAATAACAACATTTGATCAACTGCGGCCTTGAAATCAATTCCAATAGGTCCCATCTATATTTGTATCCATGTATTTTACTCTCATGCTACACAGTGCTTTTCACTCAGTTGTTAATATACATCCAATATCTTTATGTGATAGTAACTAATTCTTGATTATTTAAGTTCATGTGTGGAACAAGGCAGTGTAGAAAGAAAAGAAACTAAGACAACTGACTGTGAGCACATCATATACCAGCACGCATCATAGGCCAGTACGCATCATAGACTAGTACACATCATAAACCAGTTTAAATTATATACCAGTACACATCATAGACAAGTACGCATCATAGACCATTTTACATCATATACCAGTACACATCATATACCAGTACACATCATAGACAAGTACGCATCATAGACCAGTTTATATCATACACCAGTACACATCATAGACAAGTACGCATCATAGACCAGTTTATATCATATTCCAGTACACATCATAAACCAGTACACATCATAGACCAGTACACATATTAGACTAATATACATCATAGACCAGTACACATCATAGACCAGTACACATCATAGACCAGTTTGCATCATTGACAATTACACATCATAGACCAGTACACATCATAGACCAGTTTGCATCATAGACTAGTACACATCATAGACCAGTACACATCATAGACCAGTACACATTACAGACACGTTTTTTCACACCAGTTAAAGCAAGAAAATTGCATTTGTAGTTATAGTCTTGTGTCAATTAAGACGCTTTTAAAACATTGTCTCGTTTAATGTACTACATAAACTTTAAATTAAAAAAAAAAGTCTCTGGTGAGTACACGTTTTTTTAAAAATTGTGTTCCGAATTTGATTCAGGAACTGGTTGTATGATACAGATTTAGATTCCTTGACCAACAAAAACATATCTGTGGAATTTGCAATAACAGCCTACTATATCGTAGTAATTCAACCTCTATTTCCAACCCTCGCAGTGTTTATTACTGCGCGTATTACACACTTTAAAAGCATACACACAGAATATGTTTTCTATCTTTTTGAATTTTACTTGCAAAGTCATTAAACAGGTTTTCTAATTGTGCTCTATAAAGTTTTTAAAGGTGGTCACGTAAAAAATGTGCAATGGCTTATGCAAATTAAAAGAATTTCTTCCGAAGACAATATTTTATCAATATAGTCTGTGCCATACTTCAAATGAAAAATTACATCAATACAGTCTATGACATACTTCAAATGACAAATGTTATAAATATAGTCTATGACATACTTCAAATGACAAATGTTATAAATATAGTCTATGACATACTTCAAATGACACGTGATATAAATATAGTCAATGACATACTTCAAATGACACATGTTATAAATATCGTCTATGACATACTTCAAATGACATATGTTATAAATATAGTCTATGACAAACATCAAATGACACATGATATCAATATAGTCTATGACATGCTTCAAATGACGCATTCTATCAATATCGTCTATGGCATACTTTAAATGACAAGTGATATCAATATAGTCTAATGACATACTTTAAATACCACATGCTATCAATATAGTTTATAGCATAATGCATATGACACATGCTAGACACAGCTACAAACTTACGTTGTGTAAAAAAAGGGGGAGGTTTGGGGGATTTTTTCTGTGTTAATGTGTAGAAAATGTATACATGATTTGCGTGTCAGGGGGCGCACTTTTCGGATTTGGCCCTGGCCGCCCTTAAGTCAAGGTACGCCCCTGTCACCGCCACATCATGTTACGATTACACGCTTAAACCATAAAAGAAATATGAGGTAACACAAAAACAACAAATGTCGGACAACCCCTTTACCCTCTCTCAGACCACTTGACGCGGGATTCTATCTCTTCCGGTCATGCCGCCATTGCGTCAAGTGATGCATCGCAGTAGGCTTGTGCTAATTGCCTCCATTTATATCTAAGATTGGAGAGGACGTAATAGTGCCATTCTTATAAGCGTAGTGAGCCAAAGACGGGTTTAATAAACTCGTGTTGGCACTTCCATAACATGATATTGAAACATTTTTTTTTTAAAGTTTAATTATCTATTCTCATTTCACTGGACCTGTGTGAAGTTGAATTGGTAAGTTGTGATGAGTAATTTATTTCTGTGTGGATGTTTACAACAATAAATAGTGTAACAAGATTTGCTTGGGCTTGGAAAAAAAAAAAAGAACAGTTACAAGGATTTTTCGGCTATACGCCTTACTGATAAGGCAAATACAATAATAAA